TAATTGGACCTCCTGAACACGAATATCACATTCACTTGGCCTGAAACTGCATGGCGCCTGCGCCACAGGTGCGGGCGCCAAGGAACCTAGATCACCAAATTCGCTGAAGACTTGTATACATGGGTTCTTCGACATCTTGGTTGCAAATATCATATTCACTTCTGCGCTGCTACAGATGCAAGACGCTGCGATCATCTGCGCTCTGCTAAGGCTGAACCGGATTTGAACGAAATCACTTTCTTCGAAGACACATGGTACGATCACCCATAGTTTGGGTGTGTGTGACTATCACCCCCCCCCCTTCCCAAGCTGTCGAAGCGTAGCGGTTTCCCCGTCCTAACATGCGCAGGAATAGAGATACAGGACTGTGAAACACGCTGCTTCCCCCGTGCTCCGCCCAATGCCTTTTGCGGCGCAAACTCCCGTTCATGCTAACATCCGTCGTATGCGCGTGTCGCGTGCGGCTCTCTTCGCTTTTTGCCAAGTCCTGCAATTGCGCTTTGGAATACAAGTAAAACGCAATTTCCTGATGAGGATAACATTTTAGGCGCTGCAAAATAAGAACCGAAGATGATGACGACGGCCAGATTTCAAGAGCAACTGTGCTGCTTCTGCAACATCCCTCGGAGGCCGCGCATTCCCACAGAACATGAAAATAAAAACGCCCTTAGCGTCCCATTCGTTAGCTTAAAGTATTTCTATGGCTTTGGAAGCGGATTCGCGCCGGATCGCAGAAATTTCTTTTAAGTAATTTTGATTAATTATTTATAATTTGCGATTTCAATGAATATGCATTGCTCTATTTTTTCATTTTTGTTTTATTCACATCCATTCGTTGTTCTTCATTTCCTTTGTCATCTTCATCACCTTCTATTCGGACTTCGAAGCATGAGCAACACCTCAAATGTTATCCGCATCAGGAAGTTGCGTTTTCCTTGTATTCAAATAACAAGTGGGACCCTTAGGCCGTTTTTACTTTCACGTTTTCTGGGAATGCGTCGCCTCCGAGGGATGTTGCAGAAGCAGCACAATTGCTCTTGAGTTCTGGCCGTCGTCATCATCTTCGGTTCTTATTTTGCAGCACCCAAAATGTTCTCCGCATCAGGAAATCGTGTTTTACTTGTATTCTGAAGCGCAATTACTGGACTTGGCAAAGTGCCAAGAGACCCGCGCGCATACGACGGCTGTTAGCATGAACGGGAATTTGCGCCGCAAAAGGTATTGGGCGGAGCATGGAGGAAAAAGCGTGTTTCACGGTCCTGTGTCTCCATTCCTGCGCATGCTAGGACGGGGAAACCGCTACACTTCGACAGCTAGGGGGCTGTTATTCACACACACCCAAACTATGTGTGATCGTACCATGTGTCTTCAAGTACACACAAGGGACCTTTAGCACTACTCAGGCGCCAAATTACGTCGGCTTCGAAAACAAGTGTCAAAATCGTAATCAGGGCTATCGATTACCTCTGTGCACAAACCAAAAGAACTTCCTTGACGTTTTTGGCCTGTGTGTTGGGTCTTTCTGTTGAAGTCTACAGTGCCTCATCATATGGATTCCCGCATTTCGTTAATGTACAAAAACTAACAATCTCAATGAAACTTATGCAAAAAGGAAGGAAAGGTGAGTATTCGTCCAGGTCCGCTTTGTAAAAAGGTTGAGAAACATGAATGAGTGCAGTTTCTGCTCTCTCGGTAGGGGAGAATGGCATCTTCATTAAGTGACTAGGCGGTAGAGATCGAGAAAAGCCCAGGATGCTTTTCCACGAATGCCGGGAGCACTCACGCCTATGCCATGAAAGAACCTTGGGCTCACCAAAGCCGCGATACGGCTGCCTGCCCAGCGGCCTGCTACGTTGTCGTAACGTCATCGTGTTTACGAAGATGTGAGAGTCCGGTTACCACCGCCGACCAAAAAATGGTACCACAGCCCGAAAAAATCAGAAAATTTTTTTGGCTGAGAGTTCGTCTATAGAAGTGATCGATGGTCTTGATCGCAATTTTGGCAATTATTTTCGGCGCCGACTTAATATGGCGCCAGAATAGCGTTGGACATTCCCTATATGAGGGTACATAGAGGTGCTTTTCACTCCTTTTTTGGCTTCCTGGGAGCGCTCAGTGAAAATGAACCCCCTTTCTGCGGTCTATGTGCAAGCCTCTACAAAATGCAAAAAAACCATTTTGAAAAAGCGGGACGCGCCCTGAACGACCTTCCTCGTCAGCGGTAGCAGAGCGTAGATGATTATCATCCACCATTAGCGCCAGCGCCGTCATGCACTATCGAGCCAAGCGGATGTGATATTCGTGTTCATGAGGTCAAACTACTCCTAGGGACAAGCTGCCAACGAATTTGGTCATCTGAGCTGTCCTGGCGTCGGCGCCTGTGGCTCGGGCGCTCAGGTCCAGCGGATGTGATGTTCTTGTCCAGGAGGCCGAACTATTTGCTTTTCCAGGCTAATTTAGTCATTTTTTCCACCTTGTGAAGATAAGGAGCTGCTAATCTGGGAAAAAGTAGCCAAAACAGTGAAAAGTTGGAAAAAATGACTAAATTCGTCTAGAAAAAGCAAATAGTTCCTGGCACGCGCTGCGGCCCGCTGACGACCGCCCTAATCAACTCGGATGACGAGGGTATATGAGGTGCTCCAAATTGCCCAAATTGGCTGAAATGTAAAATTAGAGGTGCTTTAGTGCCCTGGAAATCAACACTGCAGTTATATTTCGTGGAAATGCCTTGTACGCATTCTGGAGGGGCAGGGTGTGCAGGGATCGGCAACGTCCTTGGCAAACGTTTTTACGCCGAACGAGTGTGATATTCGTGCTCTGGGGCTCAAATTAGCCCTAGAGACAAGTCTTCAACCAAATTTGAGATTCCGACCTATTTTCGATACAGTGGGGTAAGGGTAACCACAGGCAACCAGTTCCTCAAAGACACATGGTACGCTCAAACACATTGGGGGTATATGAGACAATTAGCCCTCCCGCTGTCGAAGTGTAGCGGTTTTCCCGTCCTAACATGAGCAGGAATAGAGATACAGGACCGTGAAACACGCTTTTTCCTCCATGCTCCGCCTTACACCTTTTTGCGGCGCAGATTCCCGTCCTTCATAACATCCGTCGTAAGCGCACGTGTCCCTTTGTCGGCTCCCTTGGCACTTTGCCAAGTCCTTTAATTGCGCTCTCAAATACAAGTAAGACGCAATTTCCTGATGCGGATAACATTGGAGGTGCTACAAAATAAGAACAGAAGATGATGACGAGGGCCAGAACTCAAGAGCAACTCGGCTGCATCTGCAGTATCCATCATAGGTCGCGCATTCCACAAACCATTAGAATAAAAACAGCCCAAGCGTACCACTCGTTTGTTCTAAGTATTTCTATGGCTTTGGCGCCGGATTCGTGCCGGGTCGTAGGAATTTACAGGCCAGTTTATCTAATTTGCATTCCCTTGATTTTTTCAATTTCGTTTTATTTACATTTACATCGTTGTGCTTCATTTCTAGCCTGTGTCATTTTCATCCCCTTGCACATGGATTTTGAAGCATGAGCAACACCTAAAATTTTATTCGCATCAGGAAATCGCGTTTTGCTTGTATTAAACCAACGAGTATGCCGTTTTTAATTTCATGTTTTGTGGACATACGCGGCCTCCGAGGGATGCTGCAGAAGTAGGACACTTACTTTTATGTTCTGACCCTCGTCATCATCTTCCGTTCTTATTTTGCATCACCTCCAATGTTGTCCGCATCAGGAAATTGCGTTTTACTTGTATTTGAAAGCGCAATTAAATGAATTGGCAAAGTGCCAAGGAGCCGCACGCGACACGCGCGCATACGACGGATGTTATGAAGGACGGGAATCTGCGCCGCAAAAAGGCATTGGGCGGAGCATGGACGAACTAGCGTGTTTCACGGTCCTGTATCTCCATTCCTGCGCCTGTTTGAACGGGGAAACCGCTATGCTTCGACAGCTGGGGGGTGCATTTCCGCTAAATTTCAGTACTTGTTGCTTACTGACGGTCCTGATAACCACGACATCCACTTTTGGCTTCCATGCCATCTGTAATCAGTTTGGTCCCACAACATGACGGAACGAATAATGCCGCCGAAACCATCCATCAGGAGTTCATTAGGAGTGTTCAGAAATAAATTTTTTTTGGTAGAATGAGGTCTCCTAGCCTCGCAAAAGTGCTTTCCGGATGTGTAGGAGGTATTTTTGGGTAATGCAAAATGACGAACCATGGAAGGTTCTGGACCTCCCACCTCGTCTACTTGAGCGCGTCATACTACCCACTACGCCACCGAGACACATCGTGGACTCACGTCTTATTTGTGTACCAAGCTCAATTGTGCTCCGTACAACAACATCCTGCATATCTCTGCTCAGAGAATCGTTCAGCAGATATGGAAAGCATGTTTGAAATCAGCGTCCGAAGACGCATCAGTGGGTATACATCTTGTTTTGAATGGCCACTTCGACCAACCATCCATTCCTTAGTCAGCCAAATCTGCCCCCTTAGAAAAAATCGGTTGAAATTTGGCCTGTTTGAGAATAGTGAGTAGTATAGATGAACAGTGATGATGTTACTTCATGGTTAGCTTCTCAGAAAGCTGTAAACTATACGCGAAAATTCAGGCAAGTAGGAATGACGAGATCTATGATCTTTCTGGTTCTTCTCTCCCATTATCGATGTATGGAGTGAGGTGATTGAGAATTCACCCGAACACTATGAGATTCCAATAATAAAACGAGAATGGTCCGCAGGTCACGGAGTACTTCGCCGCAATTCACATACTGTTGTGCTCAAATCCGTGCGCGCGGGAAAATAATCAAAGTTCCAGCCGAATGCGGAGTCTACTCGCGTCCGGCTCCCATTCGTGCATTGTCAGGTCACGTTTCTCTATACTTAATCAGTTGCTGTTTTCTTTTCTCGTTTGGGAGAGTGTCTATTTAAATAGTAGGAAGTTCAGTTGTTACAGGTCCACTTTTGCGATGGACCCACACTAATGCGCTCCTTTATGTCTAGTCGTAGCAGTGTGGATGATCGCCGATCGGACATCTCGGGAGGATCTAGTGCTTCAACTTTTATTAGAGATTCAACTCTCATAAACTCTACTGGCAGCAGATCGAGTGCCTTTCCACTTCGCAAGTCAGTAAACTTCCGAGTCTACTGTCGTTTATCGACGCTATGTTTTATGTTAGTTTCCTTTATTTCACTCGATTTACTTGTTGCAGGTTTACTGCCGGTGTTGGGAGACCGGGACTTGCGCGAGAGGCAAGAGAGGCCGTTCGATGTGTAGTTTCTGCTCATAGTGCATCGGTTCGTTTGCTGAGCGTTTCTTTGGGGTGTTTCGCAGTTTGCAACTGCACTTTTCCAGCGGCGAGTCATTCCCGTTGAACCTTTGGATTACGAAAAATTCGTGGTCGAAAAGGCGATATTTCTGGAGAATGATCCTCAACGGGAACTGCTCATGTTTCCTAGAGATGATGTGGAGGTATCAATGCAAACGTTGTGCACGAAAGTTTTAGTTTCATATTTCGATTGTTTTACTTTAGATCGCTGCGGACGAGGGGCGTGTCGGGCAGTATGAGTGTGCCACAGCGCTAAACCGTTGACTGCCGGGTATGTGGCAGTAGCTGGTAGAAAACGAGTGATACGGTCGATATGATACTGTCTGTCACTCGTTCACTTCAAGATCTGATGGAGAACGAGTTTGGCACAGCGCACAGCTCATCCTGCCTAGCACGCCTTTTGTTCCGCAGCGAACTTGACTATATTTTGCCCGAGCTCTGTTCAGTAATAGTTTTCTGTAGGAACTAGTAGAGGTCGCGGAAGCTCAGACTGTCGTTCCAATGACTAATCACAAGGATATGGTTGATACTGCTTGGCTTCTGACTCGAGATGTCTTGAAAAGTTTCACTTCCCCGAAGCGCAGCATTTCCTTCAATTATACGAAATTTGCCGGCGACTACGACTGCTTCGGTGACGAGTATGCTTATTTTTTTTCATTTAGTTTGGTCGGTATTGAAAGTTATTCTTCTGAAACCCTTCACATATTCGCTTCGCCTTCCTGTGGCGATGCGGTAGTCATTTTGTTCGGAAGTGGCAAGTAAACTCTCTTGTGAATTACTGATGAGAAAGGTTAACTCTTCATAGACGAGCACCTATGTAGCGCTAATGTGATCTTTGTGATGGAGCGTGAATTCTACTTGTCAAAAGAGTTGAAACGGTATGGGTGACGGTAAACGGCGAAATCGCATTTCAGCACCCGGGCTTTGTGAGCGGCGGTCGCGGCGCGGTTTCGACACTAGGGCATCATTGTCAACTATAGTCACCAGCGAGTAACCAGGGTACAGCATGGGGATGTGCGAAATGGCGGTGTGAGTACGACCCCCCCCCTCCACTGTCAAGAGGGCCCAGTTACGACCCCTCCCCTCCTGCTCTAACTGACAACCGGAGTCATGTTTACACGAAATGGCTTCCTGAAATCTGGATCTGGAATTTTGAAAGGCAGACTCTGCTCTAAAATCCAGGCAATAAGAGGCTGTTTCAGCCTCATGCAATATGAAGCTGAACAACAGCATCGCACTGCCTACAGTTTTGTCTTGGGATTCAAAATAAAACTAGTCGTTCGACAACCATGTATGACATGCAACTTGTGTTAAGTTGTCCGGACAGTTCTCAGCGTTTTGTGTTACCACTTTTTGTACATTCATTGCTGATTGAGAACTCATTCTTACTTGCGTCTCGGTAGTACATCACGAAGAGAGTTTTTTGCGCTATATGGTGGTATAATTGCCGTTTCACCATTGCTTGATAACCCCCCTTAAACCCCCCTTTTCCCAAGACTTCGAAGGGCAACATCGGACGATATTTTTCTTCACCTACAAATTGGGTCAACCGCAGTCGAGACAGCTCGACAAATTAACCAGGTGTGAGGGCCCAAGCGTTGGAGAAAACACCATGCAACAATGGTTCGACAAATTTCGTTCTGGAGATTTCAGCTTTGAAGATCAACCTCGTCGCGGTCGACCTAAAGCAATGCCTGACGAGGATTTGAAGGCGTTTGTGGAGGCTGACCCATCCCAAACAGTTTGCCAGATTGCAGAAAAGCTAAGCGTTGGCAAACCCACTGTTGCCGATGGCCTGAAACTCACTGGGAAGGTGAAAAAGCTCAACAAGTGAGTGCCCCACAATTTGAGTGACCGGCAGAAATTGGCATGTTTCGAGGTTTCTTCTTCACTGCTTTTGAACAACAGAAACGACCCGTTTCTGGACCGAATTGTCACCTGTGATGAAAAGTGGATCATGTATGATAACAGACGTTCTGGACAGTGGTTGGATGCCGACGAACCACCGAGGCAATTTCCAAAGCCGAATCCTCTCTAAAAAAAGATTATGGTCACAGTGTAGTGGTCATCGGCTGGTGTGGTCCACTATAAATTTTTGTCACCAGGCCATACCATCACAGCAGAGTCCTTCTGGGATCGACGAATTGTACCGAAAATTGCGTCGGCTGCAGCAACAAACAGAAAAGGTCCGATTTTGCATGACAGCGCCCGCCCACACGTTTCACAAATTACTATCCATAAATTGAACGACTTCGGGGTTGAAGTTCTACCTCACCTGCCATATTCTCCATACATTTCACCAACCGACGGTCACCTTTTCAAACATTTTTAGAACTTCCTTGCTGGAGAATACTTCATCAATCAGGACCAGGCAAAAAAGCCTTCATTGATTTCGTGGATTCTCGACCATCCTGTTTATTATTTGATGGGGTCGACTGGTATCACATTGGCAAAAGTGTGCTGATCCGAACGGTGCTCTTCGATTGAATACGATGAGTGTTAAGAAAGTTATGATCGTTAAAGTGAAGCACTCAAAACGCTGAGAACTTTCCGGACAACCTAGTAAGAAGGAGCACAATCAAAACCCCGACTAATGGTGACCATTGATAAGCTAAATTGGTGAAGAAATAGCCCTAAGGTCAGCGTGTCAGGCCTCAGATGTGCATTCAATGAATGGTGACGGGGCAATCATGAACACATGCACAACACAATAAAGCAAAACATGAAAAACACAAAAAAATGCGGAAACAAATGAAAAAATGGATAAGGCGGCAGTATATCATTCTATACTCGGCTATTATCGATCGCGACGTTGCGACCGCTTTCATTGGAAAAACGTCATTGGAGCGCGGCTGTTGGGCCTGCCAACGTCCTGGGGTCTTCGGGGGGGGGGGGGTATATCTCTTTTAGATGTGCAGCTTTTGAGGAATGGAGCAGCATGCAAAGGCAATGTTCCTACTGTTGCGTTTTCTACCTAGTTGCAATCTGAAAATGTTTCCCCGTTCGCGGAATCTTATGGGTCTCGAATGAGCTAGTGCTAAATCGCGAGCGGGTTTTTATGCTTTATAAGAGGATAACCTATTTCAAACGCAATTTCATCAGAACCAAAACCGTCTTCAGAGCGCCCTATCTTTTCTCTTTCCAACAAGCTTTGAAGTTTTCCTGAAGACCCGCTAGATCAGGAGACATTTTAGATGAGTTACCAAAAAGCTACTGTCTGAGCTACTCGAAAGTTCGACTCCTTGTGTGCCATTGTCAGGATACACCTTCGGAAACTTTAATGTGCCTTCGAAACACATATTTCCCTTCGATTGAGTAAAATAGGAGTTCGGCTATCACTGATCGATTTGGTCCGAGGTGCCGTGCATTACGCTGCTACGCAGATGTGGTGGAAAGGTGTAAATTCTGATTTCAGGTGCTTTTGTCCATGCACACAGATGTTTGTTTAGGTTCGGAAAGGCAATACGCATGAATCTGTTTGAGATGTATTATTTAGTCATCTAAGTACTTACGAGTTCAGCTAGCAATTGATATTGCTAATCAATTCTTTAATATTTTGTAGTCCTTACATCCGGGTCTTCTGCAGCTTTCCGTCCGTTCCATCAAACTTAGCAGTGACACTTTTGTACTGTTGGTGCCTAGCGAGCCTACTTTTGCGATACTCTCCACGTCCTCCGCGGCCAAGTACGAACCCATTTTTGAGGATTTTGCATGAAAAGAGGGCTGTTAAACGTAGCAGTTAAATCTGTAAAGAATACACTCATGAAAATTTTCAATTTTTTTCAAGATCTTGGCTTTCGTAGCTCCACTCCCGCTATCAACTGAAATGTCAAAGCATTGCCCGGCGCTGGCCGACCCTCGAGATTACGCCCCCCCCCCGCCTCGCCAGCGGCCAAGTACTACTCCCCGTATGGGTTTCGCACAACGATGCCGTATCCTGCGAGTAAGACCGCACTATATTCACAAAAGAATCGAACCTCGGGTACTAATGTTGATGATGTGGCGTTTCCCACTAAATTTCCGTTGAATTGGAGGTAAAGTCATGTAAGGAGGGAAACGCGCCTTCTCACCATATTTGGGCACCTCCCATCAACGTAGGGACTTTTCCTCTGCCGTCTGCCCGCTCCCTTAACTTTAAGTATTCTGCGCTCCAAGCGGCTTCAAGATCTAGAGAGCAGTTGGAAACAGCTTCCAACTGTTCGTAGACTGTGGAAACTGTCATATCAATTCATGCAATTTCGCACGTTTATTTTGCGGGTCCTGCAGTTACATGCCTCGTTTGCAGAATGTGGCATTTTGTGAGTGATATATGCAGTGCGCCTCCAGCAATGCGGAGTATCGGGCACCTTTATACGCAACGCTTCAGACAAAGTACCCTGTCTGGGGAAACGATGGCAACAGGTGTACGCATTGATTTATGCCTTGATGTTTCAACGGGTTGGTTCAGATAATTCCCGATTGACTCAGTGGAGCCATTCTGCTGAAGCATTTTGGCCACTTTTTGAATTTGACCCATTAAGTTGGTTGAGTATGACGAATTTTCGGCATTACTTTGCTACATTCCTTACAGTGACTGACATCTGAAAAGTCATTACACACAAATCAAGATGGAGATCAAAATAGGGTTCACTTCGCTCTTGAATGGGTTCTGTCAACTAAGTGTACATTATATAGACAGCACTGTGCAACATCAAAGCGTTTTGATTTAAAACATCTATTTTGCTTCCTTTAAACTTCGGCAGGTGCGTGCCTGATTTTCGATTACGCAAGATACAGTACATAGGAGCGCTTTTATATTTCGGTGGTTGTGCGATCGCGAGGTATGAGCGCGCGCCATGCAACACCAGCCGAGGATAACGCTCAGCGATCAGCGAATCGTGTCGGGACCGCGTGCTTGCGACGGTAGGATGCTCAAGTGCGATTTTGCTTACCTTATGTCAAACGGTATTGCTTACGGAAGCGTTCTAGTCATCTTTCAATACTTGTAAGCATTCTAGTCATCTTTTAATACTTCGTTCAAATAACTTCTGCAAAGGAGAGCTTGGAAGGCACCTGATTTCCGCTTTTTCTCGAGAACTTTCCTACTAGTAAAATCTAGAACTGAAAATGCATACTGAGGTGTCCCACAAAATTCTTGACTTTTCCAGGTGGCGGTTTTTCCCCCATCCTACTATATATACCATTTTCACTTCAAATCGGACCTTTTTCAAACCAAATTGGACACTTTTCAACCAAATCGGAACATCCAATCTTCACAAAACGAATAACCATGCACAGCACAAGGCCCGCCCCTTATGAGCCTGCCACTGGTGTTATATCGCGGAATACGGCCTTCCGATCGCCTCTGAACCAAACCAGTTTCCGACCTCTTTCCGGTTTTCCTTTTTTTATTCTATGTGCCGGGAGAGGGAGTAAGTGCGCGTAAGTACGGACTAGCCCGCGATTTGCATTCAGTTTTTGTAAAGTGGGCGGAGCTTCCATTGGTGGGCGGAGCCAATCGCTAAAAGCCTAAAAAAAGACGAAAATTACGGAAGAAAAAGCAAAATTCCGCGATAAACACAAGTGGGCGGGTCAGAGGGGCGGAGCCTGGAGTGCTGTGCATGGTTATTCGTTTTGTGAAGATTGGATGTGAAGAGAACTACGTCGAGATAAGTGATAAAATTTCAGCACTTACGTAACTTCATTGTTAAGTGGGCGGAGTCAGATCTGTATAGGTATCAACCTTTTCCAGTTGAAGTGTGTGTGCAAAGAGTAAAAACGAA